ACGCGATCCCGGAGTTCAAAGGCAAACGGATTATTTTTGTTCTTGACAACGCCTCATACCACCATGGATTTGACGCGGAAGTCAAAGTGCCGGAAACCAACACCAAGAAGCACAACGTCGATCTGTTGCGTATGTTTGGGGCCAAGTCGATGAGGGTTAGGCGTAAGGAGGGCGAACAGGGCGTTGTTGAGTACAACTTCGAGGTACCGACAGAGCCTGGTTCTTCATTCCCTGCAGGGAACAGGGAGGGCGGTGTAAGCAGAGCGGAGGTAGCAACGGCCACTCGGGAGTACATCCACCTCAATCACCCTGAAAGGCTCGAGGAACGGGTGGTGACGTTCATGAGGAAAAAGGGGTGGGCGTTGATTTGGACGCCGCCCTACATGCCGTCCTTTCAACCGATCGAGCTTTTTTGGCAGCATGGTAAGCAGTACGTCAGCCTTAACTTTGAGTTGAAGCGAAAGATGCGGGAGGTGTGGGTGCAGATTCGTAAAGGTTGGTACGGGGACAAGGAATGGCCAGGCCAGGAGGGGGGGTGGAAGGCAGCCGATTGTTCGAAGCTGGTTCACCACGCCATTAGAGAGATGAAAAAGTGGGTCAAGGACCGTAATGGAGTGCTTTCTGGTACGATAGGCAGCCTCGAAAAGCCGGACGGGTACGATACAGATGATGTGTCGCCCGTGGGTGATGTCGAGGAAGGGGTAGGGGAGCAGATCCAGCAGGAAAGCGCAGAATGGGGTGATGGCAGCGACGAGGTTGAACCATGATGAGATTTTTTTCAGCCTTGTGATCAATTGCTACACCCATGCACTGGGTGTACCATGTTCCAACAGCACACATGTGTGATTGCTGTGCGCGGGGGGTTGCGTCCCTGCTTCCAGCTGCTGCAGTTGTTGAAAAAAAAAAATCAAAAATATTCAATTGTCGACAAGTCTTACCCCGGATGCAGCTTGCCACACGTCAACTGCATTCATGTTCTATCTTCTTGCGTATTGACCGCCTTCGTCATGGAAGCGTTTTGCGCTACTGTATGCCGACAGGCGCTTAAAAATGTTGAGTTGCAGGCCGAGAAGTGGGGATACCAATGTTGGCCGCATGTTGCTGGGCATTTTTTTCCGATTTTGAATCTCTGCTCAGGTACACGAAAAGCCATAACTCAAGCAATTTGATTTTGTTTTTTAACGTCTTTTTTTCATCGTGACCGCCTTTTCCCTGTCGTCAATTTGCGCTATCGTCTGCTGTGCTGCGCATCGTATTGCGAAAGTTACACTCCGAAACGCATATCTTTTCAATTGCTCCTATTAACTATGTGCCACCGTAATAGATACATATATTCTTGTCCGACGTGTACTGTAGTGGCCTTCGTTCCGAAAATTGCACAAGAATGCGTGCCGTGCGCGTATGATGCTACACCATCACCGCAACCATACTTAGGGGAAAACGCAGAACAACGCACCGAATCAGCACGAAAAGTCTACTCTTCAGGAAACCCCAACACGCCTTTGTATCATGGTTTGTATCATGTGGATTATTAGTCTACTACGTAGCGTGGGCATTAGCGACCAACATTTTACCGTATGGTGGTACAGCATGTGTTGGTGTCGAAAGGGTGAGTGAGGTGATTTGAAAGTGGTTGTTGGTCGGGTGAGAGCGCAGTTCTTTCGATATGAGCTGCAACCGGAGCGCTGTATTCTTCGACCGATCTCTTTAGTTTAACGTCGAATCACCTCAGTGCAATGCTACCCGTACGCTCGTCACGGACCGTCTTCCACGAAAATACATGTTTCATCACCAGCAATCTTGCGGTTCGTCGCTCTTCGCTCAGTGTTCCTCTACCGGGTCCGCTTCTTAAAGGTAGGAGGATACGAACCATGGCAGTTGGATGAGAAAAAAGGAGTCATCATCGATAGACCGTTGGGACGGGACCGTCGTGTTCAAGGTCACCGCCTACAACTTACGACCCCAGTTTCGTGCGCCCAGTCTTGTATGCTAGAAAACCCATCGTCTGGCAGCGAGATGATTTTATTCTTCACATCTATCTCCAGTGCGCAAGTTCACGGGCGGACCGGGATCGCGACGTCTTCAACCCCCAAAAAGAAATTTCACGAGGTCAAAATGTTCTTGAACGGTTTGATTTACCCCTTCGTTGTTGTGTGATTGAAGCAAAGTGGGTGCCGGTATTTTAAACCCGGTTCTTTTCCACCAATATCAAATATCCAACTGAAATGCCAGAATAAAGCGGCGGGTTCCGCCCTCCAGAAACAAACGCGGAGACGAGACGGTTTAAATGGTCGCCTCTTCACAATTCGGGATAGTTCATCATCTTAACTCAGCAACCAACATCTTGGAAAACGTACCCTGCAATTCCAAAGTCTCAGCGAATTCGATTCAATGGCACAGATGAGAGGGGGGTGGGGGAATGAAGCAGATATTCTGTTTTTTGCTTGTTCTCCTGTCAAGCAGGAACCTGCATCGTTTGCCCCTCTTCAAGCTCACAAACCGCAGTCAGCAAAGTGGCAACTTCTCCCACCTTCACCACCAATAAAGAGGGATATGCATCGACCGCGTGTATTTATTGGTTCAAACTGTGTGTTTCTCGCTTTCTGCAAAGTATTTTATTCTCCTAGGGCACTCCAAGTCTCTTGTAGTGTCCTGCTAGAACTTTCTTTTTTCCCTTCCCACTGCTGACTATTCCACCGTTCACACCTCGCAAAGTTGCTACCCCTGTATCCCCCCCTTGCGCGGTCTTTTTTACCATTCCACTAATCCCTTCCCATACCTGCTTGACGTGCCCCTCCAGGCCTCCGTTGGCCTTCTGCACTACTTCATCCCAAATGCACTTTTTGTTCTTTTGCACTAGTCCCTTCACCTGTTTTCTCTTGGCCCTGTACTTTTCCGAACTCTCCTCAGACGCCTCACTCAGGTATTGCTTGAAGACTTCTCTACGATCNCCTGCTTGACGTGCCCCTCCAGGCCTCCGTTGGCCTTCTGCACTACTTCATCCCAAATGCACTTTTTCTTCTTTTTCACTAGTCCCTTCACCTGTTTTCTCTTGGCCCTGTACTTTTCCCAACTCTCCTCAGACGCCTCACTCAGGTACTGCTTGAAGACTTCTCTACGTTCCCCTATTTCNAACTCTCCTCAGACGCCTCACTCAGGTATTGCTTGAAGACTTCTCTACGATCCCCTATTTCTTCTTTCAGCTCGTCATCCCACCACTTAACCGATACCCCACATCGTACCACCTTCTTTCCCACTTCTCTCTCTCTTCACGATGGACTCCCACCGTTCAATCTGTTCGTGGTAGAGGCAGTATGTATCGACTGAGTTGCGTAGAATATCTGATTGGACGATTTGAATAC